GGAAATGAAACGAGGTTGCTCTCGTTGCTGAATGGAAAGATTTGTGTCCCGCTCCCAACGCTCCACTGCAGAGACGCTCTGCTTCATTTTCATTTTTGGAGCAATGGCTGACCTAATGTAGGTACCAGAGACATGGCAGAGGAATCTGAGACCACATTATCTGCCCAAATCCGTGGAGATCTGAAATTGCTCGCCTTCAGAATGGTGCCATTTAAGTAGGTTTCCAGAGGAAAATGGATAATATATTCACATACAGCAACATTTAGAGGCCAAAGGGCTGTGTCCCATATGGTTGTGCGCATTCTGGCCTCAACTCAACACATTTTTAAAGTCCGTGCTTTATTTTAAGTATGTTTGGGTCTGCATAACTCCAGTGTGAGAATTTAGTGGGGCTATTTTGCATGGCTGTTTGCTTCCAAATTACAGGTTATGTATGATTTTGATGAAAAGGGTGGATTCAGCACAGGTCTTTATCCTCCAGCACTGACCTCTGCATACGTCAGGCTCAGCCTAAGGCAAAGCAGTCAGCTTAGAGTAGGGGTAAACCAGCCCAAAGTCTCAGAAATCCAACCTAAATTCAAGCAGAACACAGGAAAAACTGATGTGCTACCTGCTTTTTGCAAAGAGGGAAAAAATCTGTATGTAAATACATGAATATGTATAGAGGAGGTGAATTTTAAGGATTCAGTCTGGCTATCTCAGGTGTAAGTTTGCATGACAGGAGTGTCTGTGTGAAGGTTAAGGATGTGTGGGTATGAGGAGTGTTTGCTTGTGTGTTTTGTTCGAATGTTGGTAAATTTAAGCAGATAAACAAATCAGTGAGCTCTGAATCACACACAGGTTTGTACCCCTGTTCCTTGTGAGCCCCTAAGGAAGAGTTTCCTGATGTTGAAGCATTCATAAGAATTTGTTCACGCAGTTTCCCTGGTACCTAACAAAACACAGGTTAATGCAATCTCTCTCCTCTTTCCCCAGCAGTTTCCCTTAGATTGGTAAAAACTCTTTCAAACTCATCACTTGCCAAATTTGGTGACAAATTTGGGTGACAACTTCAGTTTCGGGGGACTGAAGAGAGAGGGGCAAAGGCACCACATGGTTGCATAAGCTCAGTTCCCATAGGAAAACAGTCACAAATTCCTGCATAAAACTCTTGAAAAGGCCATTTTTCAGGTCTAAAGGGTTGTCATGTGAAAAATATGGACCAGTTTCAGTAAACTCCTCTTCCGAGCGTGTCAGTAAGGCCCCTTGTTCACATAAAGGTTGTAAACCCTCCGTCTTAGTCGTGGCAGAGAAAAAGCAGTTGCAGCTTTGTGCTCTCTCAGTCGTCTGGACGTGCTAAAACATTTCTCGACGGTATTTGTGTGCCTGGTGATGAAATATCCCATTTTTAGCTCCGCAGCAGAAAAAAGGGGAGGTTTTTTTGGTGCTTCTCTTACTGCGACTGTGTGGCCAGAGCAGGGATTTATGATTTCAGGAGAGACAGTAGCTAGCGCTCTTGGATTTTTCCTTTTTTTTTTCTTTCCCTTCTATTTTTTTTCTAATTGTTTTCCTTTGAAATTCCAGAGTTAGTGTTTTGTCTGCTTTCTCCCTGACCCTCTTCGGAGGCAGGCGTGTGTTTTTTCACCAGAAAAACTGGAAACAAAGAATCGTTGTCTTGAAGCTGTAGCAGGCAGGAAACCCAACTCACAAGGGATCACCTCGAGCCAGCGCTGTCCCAGAGCAGACTCCAGTTCTCCGAATTCAACCTGACAGCTTGTCTGGAGCACTTTCTAAGTAACCATTATCCTTCCTTTTTCTCCCAGCAAAAGAGCTATTATTTTTTGGCCTAGGGTGCACTGCAAGCGATGTTATTGCACATGTGTGGGGGGCTTGCACGTTTGCCCCTCCCGTGCAAACCTCTTGGCTGTTTCCTAAGACACGAGTAAATTTGCTCCCTGATAATGAGTTAAATGGGCAAATGCTGTAAAAATGCTGCAATGTCTGCGCCTGTGTGTCTTCCCTTCCCTTTTCTCTTACTTATTGCTGTGTCTAGCTTTTTTCCCCGTGAATATGCGTTTCTTTGACTTCTGCATTCGCCTATTTTTCAATAAATGCAAACCACAACCGTTTGTTTTCACCTCCCCGCTCGCTTCTGGGCCTGCGCGGCGCTGGTTGCGTATTTGTGCGTGCTCATATGTGTGTTTTGGATGAATGTGCAAACACCCATGTGCAAAGGGAGCTCAGGAACCTGTCTTTCAAAATACGCAATTGTGTGCCTGCATTTTTGCTCAGTCTGCATGTGGCTGCTCGGTGATGGCTATTTTGACTGGAAAGCGTCTGCTTTCCAAAGCTGAGAGGGATTTTTAGGACACATACTTCACTCTCCACGCACTGCGCATTGGGATTTCTGCTGCCTCTATTAAAAAAAGCAACAACAACAACAAAAAATTCTCCTTACTTCCTCCTTTTCTTCATAACGCGTCTTTGTCAGCACTGCACAGGGCAACTCAGATGAGAATCAGGAAGTTCCACCGCAGCACAGCTCTGGGATGTTTTTCCAGCCACACTTGTCCAACTGGGGGCTGTCACCTACGGCTCAGAGCAAACAGGGAGTGACTCCAGATTTCGGAGGCCAAGGCCCTCCTCTGAGTTGAGCTCCAGGCTCCAGAGCTCCTTCGTGTCACCCTGCCCGGCCAAATCTATGAAAGAGAGGGGTCACAGGGCTCAGGCCTCCTTCAGAAGGGACTACCCCGAGCATGGCCCTGTCTGTGCGAGCTGAATGAGTCCTCTTTGAAATCCTAAATCCTGGTTCTGTGCCTGCACTGTTAAGCTCCTGATTCTGTCTGATGCTGGAAATAGATGGGCTTCAGCCACGGCCCTTTAATTCAAGACTGGATGCAGAATAGGAGTTAAATCGGAAAGATTTGGTCTCTCTGAGCTGTATTTCTGTAAGGGCAGCAATGCATAACAGGGCTCTTGGCTACTTTCAGAGATTCCCCAGGTTAAACTACTTCTTCATGTCCATGCTTTGCAACAGATTTCTATGTAAATCCAGCAGTCAGTCCCTTCTCACTCGGTCTGAGTTGACTTCAAGTCAAAAACCAATGTTATCCCAAGCCTGGACTTTGCTCTCTGTGTCAGTTCTTCATCTGCAAACCAGGTTTCATGCAAAGATGTTTGATAATATTCTCTTTTTAATTGTGAAATCATCAGATGGTCTGATTGTGTAGAACAGGAGTTATTTTGAAATTATTCTGCGCTCAGCCAGTTGCTACCTCATGGTGGAGAGACTTGGAATTACTTAAATCCACGTATGATCCCTGTACTGGTGACTCTGTAGCACAAGGAGCAGGACATTGTGGTCTTGAAGCAGAAATGAATGAGTCTGGTGCTTGAAGGTACTGGAAAGTCTCGTGTAATTTGGGAACAGTCACAGTAACGCTGGCCATGCATGACACACAGCACGATGGAGGCTAAGTAGTTGTTCGATTAGCAGAAATAGTAGACTGAGAAGTAATTCATTTGCAAAACAAGTGATACTGTGCTGAGATTTCGAGGCTTCTCTGTACACAGTTACAACACACGTGTAACTGGTACCTGGGCGGGTGCCACAGGACTAAATGTTAGAGAAAGCCAGTTGCTGGTGTGGGTGAACCACCTCTTGTAGGGGTTTGAAAAGGCCCAAGGACTCCTCACACTCTGCTCTCTAGTGCTGCTCCCCCAGCTCTGCCACACGCTGTCAAACCTCCCCAGACAAATGAGAGAATCCATAGCCTTCACAAAGGAGTTTTCAAAAGAAAATCTCTATCTAAGCAAACCTCTTGCTGCTGGCACCGCTGGTTTTGCACCGTCTGTATTGAGCATTTAGCACGTACACGTGGAGCCAGAGCGGGCCTGGGAAGAACCGTACAGATTCTACAACCTTTAAGCTTGCTGCCATCATTTAAAACAATGTGTCTAATGTTTCTAGGAGGAGCTGGAGGTGTTTTTGGCTCCCTCGCCCCTCCAGAAACCCACAGTCTAGGTTTCTTCTCTCCAACTGGCTTTAAACACAACCCCACCTCTTCAATGCGATCTCCAGGAGGTTAAATGTGAGGGCTGGACGCTCAGCAGCTTGGCAGACCTCGCTTACATGTTTGGTTTGCAGCCGTAGTGGTTTTTGTTCCCATGTGCCTGCGTTGGGACTTTTCCAGGACACCAGAAAGGTGCCAGTCCCAGCCACCACCACGGCCTCAGGAGAAGCGGTGAGGTCCTGTGCCTCTCCCTGTAAAGCAGTTGCCGCAAAATAGACCCCAAGTGACCACTTAGATTAATCACAAGTCTGGATCCCCAAGGACACCTGGTTCTGCTTTCCCCATTTAGAGAAGCTAAGTTAAATTCCAGTCGCCAAGCCAGGATCCTTTCTTCCTACTGAAGCAGAAGGACTCATTGCAAAAACCAGACTGCGGATCTCATAGCCCGTTTCAAATTTGCAGCCTTCTCCTTCCCCTAATTTGCTTCATTGCAATCTGTAAGGCCAAGTCCTGTCTGGAAATACAGTTCCTGTGCTTCCTAACTCAATAAGACGGAGAAGCCAGGAGCAGTTCCTTCTATATTTCAGGTTTGGGTGTTTTTTCTGTCATGTGAACTGGGGTCATTCAACTTTTCTTTCTAAAGCACCCCAAGATGCTGTGGTAAGGCATCCAATGGCTAAATGACTGCAGTCATTGCTGTTATTGTGTTATTATTAAGGCCACTATGCCAGCATAAATGACATTTCAAAAAGATTCTCCTATAGCGCCTACAAAGCATTTAGTCCATAAATGACCCAGCCCCGCCACATCCATCCTAGAACAAAAAGGCCTCAAAAATGAGGATATTACCGGCCCAGTGGCCATTGTTCTCCTAGAGAGCCTTATCAAGGTTGGTAGCACAAAACTGCCTGAATTTGGTTTGAAAATGCTCCTACGGAGAGCGCAGGATGAAGGGGCTGTCAGCACTCACCCCACAGCTCAGGAAGCGCAGGGACTGTGAGCCTATTGTTCAGCTGAAACCCCCCCTCTCACTTCTCCTCTCTGTCCTGAGCTCTCAGATTTATAAAAAAAAATTAAAGAACTTTTTAAAGCTTATCAGAGAAGGTTTGCTCTCTAATACATCATATCTTAAACACAAATTCCCTAATGGCTTGTTCGTTGGACGCCATTCAAGCTGCGAGGGCTGCTACGCATCTGGAATGGCCTTTGCTGCGGTGTGGAAATCTGCTTGGGGATTTTAAGCCCGGTTTCCTTGGGAAATGACTCTGTGCGTGTCTGTCCATCTGCCCCTAGCCCTGCGTAGCCTAGCAGGCTGTTTCACCACTCTGAATTCTGATTTACATCTAATTAAAGAGGGATCAATCGACTTGGAAAGGGGAGTTGAGAGGATGAGAAATTCCAAATGGCACAGAGGATGGTGAGGTAGGAGCTGAGGGAGATTTGAGGTGAGAAAGCAATGACCAAGGTTAGAAAGGGTCCAGAGACCAATGCGGTCTGTCCCACACAGCCTGATTTTTGGGGAAGCCGCTTCATCTGGAAAAGGCAGCTAAAGCCCGAGGAAAGCGCGTTTATGCATGTAAATAAAGAAAATGATATTTAACCTTCTTCCCAGGCGCGCTGTGAGTGTGAATGTTTGCAAAGCTGTGAGATCCTCAGTTGAAAGGTGCTGTGAAAGTGCAAAGCATTATTAATATCCTTTACCTTACTCATAATAGAGTATGTATTCATTCTGGGGAATTTCTGGACATAAACCAGACAGCTGCAGAATGACATTTCTTGAAAGCATCTATGATTTATTTTCTGCTCTTTAATTCCATTTTGTATTGAGCACACATTTGTCATAGCACTGTTGTTCCACTGGGCCTTTTAAGCCTAAAACAGACTTGGGGACCTGATCCTGAGCTGGGATAAATTTGCCCCTAACTTCACCATAACTATTTGCTGATGTACACCAAAAGAGGAGCTCACTTTTAATTGAGTTTCCATAGCACAGCAAGTTTGGGTGAAAACCCAAGTGGTTTTAATGACAGACAAGACTCCTCGTAACTCCTCGTCTGGCTGGAGCTCTGTAGGATCTCTCTGAGCCACTGGGCGTCAGGTCCTGGGAGCAATATTGTTTGTGCAGAAACTCGAGTCTCTGGATGGGTTCCCTGGCTCTGCCTTTGCCATTTTGTTTTAAACACGTTCGGCTTTAAAGTCTGGGGCTGGAAGCTGGGAGGGCTGGGGTGGTTCTTTCACATCGCATGGATTTTTGGGAAAACAAAACAGAAATAGCTTAGCGGATTTCAGCTTTTTCATTTGGGAAGGGGAGGGAGAGAAGGAGTTGGAAACTTGCAGTAGCTGAGTGAATGTGTTTTGCTGACTACCAAATTTAACCCTTCTTACCTCCCTACCAGAGCTAAGTCTCATCCTAAGAACACAAGTGCAGCTGCCCCTATATATGGTGAGGGCTCTGGAGAACAGGCCCTATGAGACTGAGGGAACTGGGGTTGTTCAGCCTGGAGAAGAGAAGGCTGAGGGGAGACCTCATCACCACCTCCAACTGCCTCAAGGGAGGTTGTAGAGAGGTGGGTGCTGGGCTCTTCTCCCAGGTGATGGGGGATAGAACAAGGGGAAACGGCACCAAGCTGTGCCAAGGGAGGTTCAGGTTAGAGCTAAGGAGGAAGTTCTTTCCTGAGAGGGTCGTCAGAAGCTGGAACAGGCTGCCCAGGGAGGTGGTGGAGTCACCATCCCTGGATGTGTTTAAAGAGCGGGTAGACGAGGTACTTAAGGATATGGTTTAGGGGGTAGACAGGAACGGTTGGATGTGATGATCTCAGAGGTCTTTTCTAACCGAGCCATTCTGTGATTGTGTGATATGCCTATGCTTTACTCCATAATCCATGCTATACAGGGGAAACTGAGGCAAAGGGGCTGATCTGAGGTGTGCTCAAACTGGATTAAACCTGGGCTGAGTCACATGTGCACCATCCTTCCAAGCTGGCATTTTGCAATGTAAAAGATACATTTCCTTGTAGGAAACCCATTCAGAGCGGTGTTGGACAAGAATTTTGACCAAATTTGTCTGCAGAACCAAGCCTTGATCCTGTAAAGCCCAAGAAGCCATAGCAATGCACGCCTGGTCAGCACATCTGACTGCAATGGTGTCACTTATTGGGTAAAAAACTTCTCAGGAGATGCATCTGACACTTCTTGTGACACTGAGCAAAGCAGGCTCCGATCTGTGACAAAGTTGCTCCATCTGGAGGAGGAAGAAGAGGACGAAGAGGAGGATCATCATCAATCCAGATGATGTCCCATTTGTTTACTGAAAACACACTGGTGCATCTCGATCATCCTGCTCATCTGTAGCAGTTAATTCACTTTGGTCCATTATCTGACCCAAAAGAATGAGAGAAAAGCAAAAGTTTTCAAAGAGTTTTGCTACTTTTTGGAAAGGATTTTTTTTTTCCCAATTAGAAAAGAATTTTTCTGTTAGAAAATGAATTGCTGCCTTTCTTTTTCTGTCCTTAAGGGACACTTCCATTAAAATTAATGGCAAAACTTTCTGATTGAGCTGACCAAAAAATACATTAGCATCTCGATTGGTGGAAATTTCTGAAGTTTTGCCTTTCTCTTATGTTTTGTTTAAAATGTTTCCCCAAACATTGCTCTAAGAGCTCCAGTTGTAATACTTCTGTAAGGGTATCCCAGGGGAGAAATGAAAGTCAGAGCCTGGCTGCAAAGAGGACATGGGAAAAGCCGTGGTTACTTCAGATTTTGGTCACTGAGACAGCAGCGGCCCAAGCTCAGGGTGCACTCAGACGAAATTAGGATTTGCATGATGGAAATTAGCATTTCCAGCAAGGAAAATGCCACCCGTGCAAATAGCAGCTTATTTACAACAATAACAACCGCTGAGCACTGAGTTTGGGGATAAAATTCCCCACAGCACCAGGCTGTGAGCCAGTTTCCAGCCCTGCTGCTCCTGGGGTGGGGACAGGGCTCCCTTCTGGAGACAGCAGGGCTGAGGCTGTCACCTCCCCCTGTCAGAGATGTCCCCTCGCTCTCTCTGTACCAGGCTGAAACCCTAGCGGTTTGTTTTGCAGTCTGATCTATTTGCAGTGGGCTTTGCGGTTTCTCATAAAAAGGGAAAAAACAAATAAGTAAAATAAAAACAAAAACAGGCGGATTACGAGTTCTGTTTTCCCCCGTTCCCTTCACTTCCCTCCTCCTCTTCCCCTCTCCTTCCCTCTGCTGTCCCCTCTCTGTTTTCCTTTTCATGCCAATAACTCCAAGGCTGTAATTTCAAAGCTGCAGCGGCTTTCCCAGCACCGGGAGGAATGTGCGAGTGCCTGGGATGTTTCCACAGGGATCTGCGCAGCCCGACGGGACACAGGGCACTGCCCACTCCTTTCCAGTGGCACAGTCAAAGGGCATTTTGAATTTCACTTGAGAGGATGCTTTTTTCCCTTTCCCCCCCTCCTTAACATAGCTTCTTTATCGTGCACATCTTCTGTCGTTAGGTGATGCAGTCAGGAGAACAGGATGGGGCAGTAACGTGAATTCTGGCCTCACCACGAGTAAGTTGTCCCAACAGGAATCACAGTTCCTGCAATGGCAGAGCAAAATGAAGCTGTGGGAGAAGATGGGCATGGCTGGCTTGTGCTGTAAGCACCATAAAGCAGAAGTTTGGGGAGATGCTGGGGCAGACGAGCACATTTGACTCTCAACAAGGTCCTACTGGATGCAAATAAATGATGCAGGACCTGGCTGTCAGATCACACTTCCTTTGCTTTGCAGCTTTCTGAGCTACAGGAGCTCTAAATGTGAAGACTATTCTTTGAGTTATACTTTTCTGCTATGAGAAATGATATGAAGAAGAGGAACAGGCGTTAATCTCGGAGTGATTCATAGAAATGGCTGTGGTATTTTCAACAAAATATATCTTGTACTTGCCTTGTTCTCTGCTCCTTCCTGCTATTCCGTTCTAGTACATACAAGATCTTTCCCTGTTTTTACAGGCCCTCCTGTTGCAGGGACGCAAAATGTGAATAAGACGACAGAACAGCAGCGGCCCCAGCCAGGTAACCATTGATTTTGTCCCCACTACATGTGCTAAGTAATTAGATTTGTACTCGATTGGGTGAATAAATGTGTCAAGCAGCACCGAGCATGCAGAGCCTTACAGGGAAGTCTCAGAGTAATGAGTCAAGTGTTACCGAGCAGCGATGGCGACTGTTCCAAACGGTTTCTATTTTACTGCCTTGTTCTTCCCCATTCAAAAGAAACATCCTGGTTTCAGCTGAGTCACGTGCAGGGCCCAGCATCAGTCGCGTCTCCTTTGAAGCACGGTGAGATGCGGGGTAAGAGGTCCTGAAGCAGTCGGGGCACGGAGCTGTGCACGCTGCAGCGGTGGCGTCTGCTGTTACCTCTTCACCTCTGCTGCGGGGATGTTCAGTGGAAGCGTCTCCAAAAAGACCCTACAGGGCTTCCCCTGCGTCAAAGAAAACCAAATAAGAAAAGCAAACCCTGTTGGGCAGCAAGCAGTAGTGTTTCCTGCTGGTTTCCCAAGGGGCCTTTGAAAAGCTAAATACCACCTTCTCTGCTTTGCACAGCTGCTTTCTATCCCCCCCCTTTTTTTAAGGAGTTGGTTCTTTTGGCATTGATTCAACCCACGAGCAAATGCTATAGATCCAAATCACCAAAACCAGCGAGAAGCAAAGGAGAAGTGTAGAGATTAGGGCTGAGGAGGCCCCACAAAAAGGGAAGGAATTCATTCCTAATAAATGCATTGTGGGGCTTTCAAGAAACACTCAGCCTCGTTGGAGCCAGGGAGAAAACTCCTGTTCCTCCCATTTTTCTAACGCTCTGCTTGCTTCAGTAAGGGAGAGTTGGGTGAACAATTCATGGACCTCAGAGGGATGCAAGCTGGACTGCTAACAAGTGAATTTGAAAATCTCATCTGCTGTCCAGCTCTTTTTATTAGGAGAAATAGATATGCTCCTAATTTCTTCCTGCTCTAGAGTCCCACGCTTCTTTTTTCACATTTCATGTTTTCTAGTTGACACATAAGTGCAGGGTATGTCCAAAGAAATTGGGATCTTTGAAAGTGGGCAAGTCAAAAAACAATGCCAGATCCACTGTGCCATTTTGGAGCCCATAAATAATTGGTGGTTGTTTGCTAAGTAAAAGAAATAAGGAACACATCAAGTCTGTTCTGGGACCTAGGAGAAGAGGCAGGATGAGTAAAGGAAGAAAGTGAAAATCTGAACTCCTTTCTAGAACAAACAATAATGAATTGCTGTTTCTTTTTGATGAAACATTTTCTAAAACAGCTTTTGTTTGGTGTATTTTTCAGATCCTTATCAAATCCTGGGGCCCACCAGCAGCCGTCTTGCCAATCCAGGTGAGTTCAACTTTAAATTTCAGACCATTTTCAAAGGGGTTGGCTTTCCTTCTGATCTGCTGCTCCAGACTGTACTGGATGAGTAGTTGTTGTCCTCTATCACCATGAGGCCTTAGCTGTGCTCTCACAAGTGCTTTTGCAAAAATCATCACAGTAAAGTGTAAAAAGTGATGCAACGTCATCACCTTTGTCAGAACAAAATCACCACCCTGAAAGTTCATATCCAAACCCAGCATTTCCTAAGAGCTTTATAGAGGACTTAAATGCTGCACTCTCTCATTTGCAGTACGGGTTTTTCACTCTCTGTTATGGAGTAGCACAAAACATCCTTGACAGTCACTGCATAGTACCTGTCCCTTGCAGGTCATCTGCAGAAAACAGTCCCTGACTTTGGGGAATAAGACCTGGAGTAAATCTGTCTTGAACTAAAGAAGCTTGTGTACATTGAATGCTTGTAAGGAAACATCCTCATACTTTACTATAACCACAATGAATAAAACTAGGAGTCATCACGTCTGGGGGTGAAATAATCTTGTGTAACTCAGATCACCGACTGGAAAGAAAACTGTAGGGATCCAAAACAATGTCCGTGGTAAACAGTAAGCAACCAAATACACCGTGTCACCCATTCAGTGAAAAATTTTGCAGAACAGCATGCTCGGGAAAAAGCCTGTTTATGAATAGCCCAAAGATTTTAAGGCCAAAGGCGACCATTACGAAATCTAATCTGTCCTCAAACTCACGAGCAGAACAAAGGGTTGACTAACTTGTTTGCTGGGAACAGTTTATCCATTCCTACGTAAGACTTTCTAAGGCTTGAAGGAGCAGTTCCCACTAAAGATCGAGATAGTCCTTCTGTTTCCTGCCTTTGTCTTTGCTTCTAAGCAGGAAACACCATGTCATTTCCTTTCCTCTTTGGCTTGCCTCTCGCAGGGAGCGGGCAGATCCAACTGTGGCAGTTCCTCCTGGAGCTGCTGTCGGACAGTTCCAACGCCAGCTGCATCACGTGGGAAGGGACCAATGGGGAGTTCAAGATGACGGACCCTGACGAAGTGGCGCGGCGCTGGGGAGAACGCAAAAGCAAGCCCAACATGAATTACGACAAGCTGAGCCGAGCCCTGCGATACTACTATGACAAGAACATCATGACCAAAGTGCACGGCAAAAGGTATGCCTACAAATTTGACTTTCATGGCATTGCCCAGGCTCTTCAGCCTCATCCCACTGAATCGTCGATGTACAAGTACCCATCAGATCTCTCCTACATGCCGTCTTACCATGCCCACCAGCAGAAGGTGAACTTTGTTCCCCCGCACCCTTCTTCTATGCCTGTCACATCGTCCAGTTTCTTTGGAGCAGCCTCACCTTATTGGACCTCCCCTGCAGGAAGCATTTATCCCAACCCCAATGTCCCCCGCCATCCCAACGCCCACGTATCACCGCACTTGGGCAGCTATTACTAGATGCTTTTATCTTCAAGTGGCCTTTACCAGTCTGGTTGGACATTTCCTTTATTTCTGTTATTTCTATGGGTTTTTTTTGGGGGGGACCCTTCATGGATAATTGTGGCCTTTCTGGGGAAGAATTAAAACTGGATATTGGTTATTCCTGGATCAAACCTTTTACTTTCCTAACTTTGCCTCTTGTGTCTTGAACTGAGAGATGGATGCTTCTTTGGGCCAGTACTCTGCATTTTCTTTGGGTTTTTATGCTTATATCCTCTGCAGGAGTTGACTACGAAGATTGTTCACCATTACCTACCATGAATATTAGCTGTTTGTTGAGAGAAATTAAAGGATTCAAAGGCTTTTGACAAGACATAGATCCACCTGTGGGTCATAGGAAAAGATGGGGTTTTTTCTCGTTGTGGAGAGGGTAGGCAATTTGATCATTAAGTGGAGGATGTTGGGCTGCAGGGGACCACAACTGGAATCTTAGCTTTAAGGCAGATGAGGATTTTCACCCAACTGGAAATTAAATATATATA